CACACACACACACACACACACACACACACACACACACACACACACACAACCTCAAGACTGTTTAGGCTTTGGTTGCTGTAGTGTCCCTGGACCTGGAATGCTCTTGTCCCTCAACCTTTATGTTTCCTAATTAAATCCCATTTGCACCACTAAGGGTTCCTTTCAATCCACTCTGTGAAGGCTTTTGGGGTACCACTTTCAGTAACCATTCCCCATCCCCAAAGCTATTGGATAGGTCTTCTTTTCTCACTTACTTTGAGGTTACTTGACCTTTTGGAAAACTTACCTATTTCCTTTTGTCTGTAAGTTCTTTGAGTGGTGCTGTAGTGTGTGTGTGTGTGTGTGTGTGTGTGTGTGTGTGTGTGTATACCTATGCTCTAGATTGTGGAGGCCACAATGCTCTCTGCCTTATTCACAGGGTCTCTCACTGAACCTGAGTGAGGCTGGGGGCCAGCAAGCCCCAGTGATCCTTCTACCCCCAGTCACCACAATGCTGTGGTTACAGCACCAGGTCATGGCCCAGCTTTTGACATGGATGCTGAGGGTCCAGATTCAGGTCCTCATGCTTGGGCAGCAAGTAGTCTTTGCCCCAAGACGTTCCCCTAGCCCCTATCTTTTTTCTTTCTTATTTTAAAATCATTCCTCATGTATTGTAGTCACTTATATGCATTTATACTGAATAACTGTCTAGCTGAACAGAAGGAGGAGAGAAACAAAATTATTGGGCTTGGGCATTCTTGGCAAGGGAGACTTTAGCTAAGAGAGTACCTTAAACTGGAGGTGGGCAGGCTACGGCAGCCCTTGGCCAAGAAAACTGTAGGGAGCAACGGCCTTGGGGACATAAGAGCTAGGCTCTCTCTCCTGTTCTGTTTTTCTTTTTTTTGTTGTTGTTGTTTGTTTTTGTTTTGTTTTGTTTTTTTTGAGGCTTGGTTTCTTTATATGTAAAATGGGGATATAATTGTCACCTTACAGGGATGTTGTAAAGTGAGATAGTATTAGTGAGCCTGTTTTATGAATTGTGAGGCCTTCTGGGCTGTCAGGCATTTCCAGAATCCTAGTGGCATCGAAACCTTGGCATCATCTTTGTGTCTGTCTTGTGAGCAGAGATAACAGCCCATCTTAAAGTCCTTAAATATATTTTTTTAAAGCTTTGTTTATTGTCTCCCTGGCCTTGGGAAATCCATAGGTAAACTTCCTGAGACCATTACAGGGTCACATTTTGTCTAGTCGGCATGAGCCCTTGAGAACCTAGAAGAATGGCTTCATATTTACTTGGCCCCGGGATTGTGAAAGCATCAGGTAACAAAGCCTCACCTGGCTGCTCCATAGCTCCTCTGTGGAATGAAGATAGCCTAGGCTTATTGACATTTGAATGCTTGGTTTATTTATTTTATTTTGACAGGGTCTCACTGTGTAGCCCTGGATGGCCTGGAACTCATGGAGATCCTCCTGCTTTTGTCTGAGTGCCCAGATTAAAGGTTAAAGGCATGGCCACTATGCCCAGCCACTCCATTGTTTTGTTCTTTGCCCTAAACTCTCCGGTTTTGGTCTTAAACCCTTGACCTATTGACTTTTAGAATGGCAGGACTGCCCTTAATCCAATTCCCAAAGAGCAAGACGGGGCAGTGGCTGAGGCCTGCCCAGCCCCATGTATCTCCTCCCTTACCTTTAATGTTTTCCAGAGAAATGTTTCTGAAAAGACCAGACAACATCCTGGAATTTGCTGCACGTGAGTACCGATGCAGCTGTCCTCCATGCTTGTGTGAGAAGCAGGATTGGGGATTTAGAGAGGGCAAGCCCGGGACTTTCTGTGGGGTCAGGGTTCCTTCTTCATTTGATATTCCTCACAGGGGCTGGGTTTGTTTATTGAAGGCTCTTTCATTCCCCTGTCTTTTTCTCAAAACCAGGCCGGAGCAGCGCTGGGGCAGGACTTTTCTTGGATTAAGAGCCCTGAGATCCCCAAAGGAGAATGGGGCTGCACGTTAGAACCACCTGGGGAGCTTTTAAAAAATGCTGATGCTCAGGCCGCACCTCTAGAGATTTAGATTTAATTAGTCAAGCAGCCAAGGTTTTGAAGGCTCCCCAGGTGATTTTAATGGACTTGGCTGCAGAAATGGCTTCGGGTCAAACAGCGTAGAGTGGGGAGCAGCAGCGAGTGTCTTGGGTGCGGTTAACCCTGGGAGCCCATTGCTCTAAACTCGCCTTCGCTGCCGCAGCAGATGCGCTGTGACTCACATTCTTCCTGGTGTAAAAACCCCCTGCTGTCATCATGCTGTGAGCCTGGCTCTCCTCGGGGAGGGAGGGTGTTCTCAGAAAAGGTCTTCATTTCAGAGACAGAAGCTGGCAAACTGAGTGGAGACCAGAATAATATTTGGTTTTTATTTAGGTTCTAAGATGGACCCGGAGCAGAAACCTCAGAATCTCTGAGCCCTCCGTGGCTCCCGGAGCATCAAGTGGGTCACGAGCACAGAGCCTGAGCAACCTGCATGAGGCTTGCTTAGGATGGTTTTCTGGCATTCATAAGGGCAGCGGGCCAGGGCGGGCCTCTGTGAGAACTGAGTATATCGTCCAGTGGAGACCACCAGTGAGAGCTGCTAGGACAAAGCATCCGACCTTTTAGCAGAGTAAGCTGTTGTCCAGGCTTTCCCTTTCAGTGTAGATGATTCCGTTCCGATTTTTCATCCCAGACTATTTCACGGATCCAAGACTTCCCAACAGGATTTACATGCAGCTAATTAAAGACAAGAAAAGAGCCTAATTAGCAAAACCACGATGCTCAGCTGCTGGGTGAAGCCAGAAGGAATCCAGCCTTCGGTGGGTGTTAGCCTCACTCTTGTGAAAAGCTACGGGTTTATGGGTCCAGGCTGTGAAAGCATGCAAGCAGGGAAATAGCAGAGCAACGCCGTGACGTTTTCCTGACAGTTTAGTGGGGGTTAGAGACTGTGACCAGAAGCCTAGAGTTGGTCTCTGTGGCAATAACCAGAATCTTTGGTGTAGTGAGGGGATTGGAAGGATGGAGTGGGAGGTGTCCTAGGGGGTAGGGGGATGGAGGAGAGTCTAGTCCTTCTCCTGAGCCCTAGAGGTGAGGAGCACTGGGGCTGGGAGCAGCTTCCTGCCTCTTCCAACTGCTTGTTTCATCCTTTCCCCAACAACCCCGCCCCCAGACAGGATGATTCCTGAAACCTTTTTGAAGGCTGTTTGCTTTGCTTTGCTTCTTCCTTTTTTAATGTGAGGTGGGAAAGGCCACACTTCTAAAGTAGGGAAACCCCTTCTGTTTTGCAGGGTCATCTGTAGCAGATTTCAGAATTGTGTGGGCCTTCTCCTATTACAAGAACCTTAAAGATCCTCATTAAATACAGACCCACTGTGTCCTACTCTGGTCTTTTTTTCCTTGAGGTGGTCAGGGTCAGGGATGGCAGGGACTGTTCTCACTCTAGCCGCTTTGCAAACCACAAACAGCGCTGGGGGATACTGAAAGAGCCACAGTTAGCTGTGGTGGGAAGAAATAAACACGTCCAGACTTGAGCATCCTGTCTCCTGTGACCTTCCTAATCATAAGGTGGTGATTCACGTTGCTTTCCATCGAAGCAATAGTGAGAGAAACTGATTGAAAGGACATGAAGAGAGGTGGACAGACATTGAAAACTCAAGAGGGGCCATGAATCTTGTGAAATATACACCTGGCAGGTGGCTGAGAAGGTAGAGGACTTTAGGAACAAGCTGGCCATGTATTTGATGTCTGGCCAAGAGGCAGGAACATGGCAGATGGTAGCATGAAGCCCTTTGCACTTTGTACAGTTTAGGAGTGTGTGTGTGTGTGTGTGTGTGTGTGTGTGTGTGTTGTGCATCTTTCAGGGTTGGGGCCTCAGTCTTTGGCCTCTGCAGTCAGCTGGCTCCACTGTATAAAGGAGCTCTCGTGTGTTTCACATGGCAACATCACCATGGCAACAGAAACACTGGCAGAGCGTTATTTGTATTCTCTTGCTCCTTGCTGCCCTCACTTGCCATAAAAAGGGCAATGGAACAGGAAGACTCAGAACCATCTAAGTTATGAACTGGACCCTCGGAGGTTGGTTGGTTCTTGTTCTAACACAGGTCTTACACTATAGACTAGGCGATCTCGAATCTGCTGTGGTCCTCCTGTGTCAGCCATGGCTTTGAAGGTTCTAGGATGATTCCATTCGTGCCACACCTGGCTCTAGAGGAGCTGTTTCTGTGCTTTCAGAATTAGACTTCAGCATCTCTGGCATGGACAGTGAGCTGTCCTTGCTTAGAAAGTACAAAACCAAGGGGCTGGGGAGAATGAAGTGCTTGCTTCATAAGATGGAGGACCTGAGATAAGAAGCCACATTAGAACCCCCAAGTGTGGCGGTGTCCCAGGACTGCAGGGATGTGTGGATCCAAAGTAGACGGTGCTAGGAGAACACTTGAGGCTGTTGTCTGGCTCCACATGTGTGCTTGTGCATACACATGAGCGCACACACACACACACACACACACACACACACACACACACACACACTAACAAAGTCTGGTGTAGTGGCTCCTGACAAGAATCCCAGCATTCAGGAAGTCAAATGCTAATTGCTGTGAATTCCAGGCCAGCATGGAGTACAGCATGCAGCCATGTCTCAAACGAACAGGGCTGGCGAGACAGCTAGGTGGTTGAGCACACATTGCTCTTCCTGAGGACTTGAGTTTGATTCCCAGCCCCCGCGTCTGGCAGTTTGCAGCTGCCTGTAACCCCCAGCTCCAGGTGGATTTGACCTCTGTGGGCACTCACATTGATGTGCACGTAGTCCCCTCTCCCACATGCATAGAATTAAAATAATAAACATATCTTTAAGCAAAGCAAGCTTTGATCAGAACACACACAGTAAGGCCTTTTCGTGTGAGGTGTCACATTAGATGGGCTCATCCCAGTGAGAAGAACCTGCCAAGATGGGATGGGGGAATACAGGGATTTTGAGGTGCTTGAATGCCTGCTATAATGATGGTGGGCTATATAATGGCTTATTCTGGGGCTGGAGAGATGGCTTAGTGGATAAGGGACTGTCCACTTGCTCCTCCTAGAGGTCCTGAGTTCAATTCCTAGCAACTACATGGTGGCTCCCAACCATCTGTACTAGAATATGATGGCCTCTTCCGGCATGCAGGTGTACATGCAGATAGAGCACTCATACATAAAATAAAAATAATAGCTCGTTCTTGGGTGTGTGTGGGGGGGTTCCCTGATAAGAAATGAGAAATGTATGTCCCCTTATTGTTTAATATTTTTTATTTAAAGTTTTTATTTTATGTGTATGAATTTTGCCGGCATGTTTTTCTCTGCATCACATGTGTGCTTGGTACTCAGATAAGCCAGAAGAAGGGGTTAGATCCCCTGGAACTAGAGTTACAGACACTGTGAGCCACCATATTAGTACTGGGACTTGAACCCAGGTCCTCTGGAAAAACAGCCAGTGCTCTTAACCACCCTGTTTTCTATGACTTTTAAAATGGCATACAAAGAAATGGGTTTCATGGTGATATTTGAATACATGTATGTTCTCTAAAGGAACAGAACTGATAGAATGAATCCATATAAATACGTTAATAGATTTATTAGTAGCCCAACAATAGCTCCCGCCTGACAGAAAGGCTAAGAATCCAGTAGTTGCTCAGTCCACAGGACTAGATGTGCCAGCCATCCCGCTTGAGTGCTAGAGCAAGCCTAGGGAGCTACTGCTCTTTAGTGTACTTGGGCATGGTGAAGAAGTACGTTCTTGCACCAGCAAAGGAATGTGTCAACGACAGCACAAATGAACTCAGCAGTGAGAGTGAGGGCAAGCAGGCAAAAAGGAAAGCTTCCTTCTTCCATGGCCTTTTAGGATGGGTCACCCCACCTGCAATAGTCCAATCAAGAAAAACCCCTCCCAGGTATGCTCAGCTGCTTGGGGCTTTAGTTGATTCCAGATATAGTCAATTCTTTCCTCCCATAACTTTACCTGAACTTTTTTTTTTTTTTTTTGGGGGGGGGTTTCTCTGTGTAGCACTGGCTATCCTGGAACTTACTCTGTAGACCATGCTGGCCTTGAACTCAGAGATCTGGCAGCCTCTGCCTCCTGAGTGCTGGCATTAAATGCTTGCCCTACCATGACTGGCCTAACATCTCATTTTTTTTTAGATTGAAAACTCCAGAAAGATGGGATCCAGGCCTGGCTGTCAGCAGTGACTGGGAACAGATGTTCATCAAGTGTGTGTGTGGAGAGAGTGAATGTGCACATAGCTGAATGAGCCATCACATTTCAGTATATCGACAACTATATAAACTATATATACCTATGATAGAAGCAGATATGTATTATAAGAGGCAGGAGAAAGAGCAGCTTTGGCTGGAGGACGGAGGGAGATCTTGTGTAAACTGGCATGCAACAGGCAAGAAAGGTTTTTCCAGGCAGATTTGGAGAACAGTTCCTCCCATTCTGCTGATGGGGGGAGGGCAGGGCACATCCTGTTATCACCTGCTCAAGTTTCTGCCCATGCCTGTATTGTGTTTGAGTCAGTGTTTCTCTGTGTAGTCCTGGTTGTCCTGAAACTCAGTCTGTAGACGAGGCTGGCTTCAGAAATCGGCTTTCCTCTGCCTCCTGAGTGCCGAGATTAAATGTGTGAGCCACCACAACTGGCCTGTACTTTCTTTTTTTTCTTTTTTCTGAGACAGGGTCTCATATAGCCCAGACTGGCTTCAAACTTGCTATGGTGGCAAGGCTGACCTCAAGCTCCTGCTCTTCTGTCTCCAGCGTGTTAGGATTACAGACACATGCCACCACATTCAGCTCAAATTATAAATCTTTCTTGTTAACAACTGTTAACAAGATTTGTTAAGGGCAGCAGTTAGCAAAGCCTCAAATATTTGGTCATATGGGGTCTAGGCCAAGCATAACTGTTGTGGATGTTTTGGTTTGATATGTTTTTTGCTAAAATTCCAAGTTGGGGATTTTAGTTTGCCCACACCTGTTAAGTGTCTCCTGTGGTTCGTGATCTTTGCCAGGTGGAATTAGTTGAATTCTGAGGACTTTGGGGGGGGGGGTATAAATGTGACAGCCCAGAGGAAGAAGGTTCAGCTGCTTGGAGGAGGGCTGCTTGCTGCTCGGTTCATCCTGCCGCTGCATCTGCTGTTTGCTGATCTGCTGCTACCTGGACTTCTGCATTTCTGGACTGCTGAGATTGGTATTATCCCCAACAAATCCTACCACCCTACCCAGCAGGAAGTGATAGAGAGAACTCTGCCCCCTGCCCCCTCCAACCTTCTTTCTCTCCTACCTAGTGTTGGAGGGTTGGAAGGGAGGTAGAAGTGTTTAATAACCCTAAATAAAGTAGGTTTGTTACAAAATCAAGATAACACAGAACAAGGACATTCCCTAATTTTCAAGCCTCCCTTTCATGTGCCTGTGGCATATATGTAACAGGATGCCGGGAGGTTCTAGGGAAACTTTTGTTGTTGTTTTGTTTTTGAGACAGGGTTTCTCTATGTAGTCTTGGCTGTCCTGGACTAGCTTTGTAGACCAGTCTGGCCTCGAATTCACAGAGATCCACCTGCCTCTACTGAGTGCTGAGATTATAGGCGTGTATTACCACACCCAGCTAGGAAGCTTGTTCTTGAGTGGGGCTGGTACAGCAAATGTAGCCAGTGTAGTATGTGCTTTTCCTTACCACCTAGACCTGAATATTCGATGCTTGAAGCCTAGCAGGTACCATAAGAGCATAT